GTCGAGAATCACTACGACTCGATTGATGATGGCTTATCAATCTGGCGGCTGCTGCCGCGAATTAGAGTTAGACATGAAAATGCGGGTCGGTCGAATCGCAGTGAAGGTCAGCGAAATAATAGATCAGGCCCGCCACAAAGATGAATCGCTGTATGTAATAAACCGGTCGTCCGTATTTATGAAAACGGGAATGCGTCGAAATGTATATAAGGTAATGTCGTGCTCTCGGCGAGGACATTTGGTTCTGCTGGCTACGTTTGGCGGTTATGGGAGCTGTACCGGTTTGAGAGTGGGCGTACATCCGCGGCGAGCTTGATGGATGTGCTTTGCTGGGCGAAGGATCAGAGCCAGGTGCGGGGGGAGGAATCAATACGCTGTTTAGAAGGTACTTTGCCGCTAGCGCAGGACATGAAGTCGTGCTTGAATGCGATACATGCAAACGTGCATGCAAGCGGATCTTCTCTCTCCTCTCTCTTCTGCTTGTCTCTCTCTTCTCTCTCTGCTCTCGCTCTCCTCTGCTCTCTTTATCTCTCTCCTGCTCTGCTCTCTCTCTCTCTCTCTCTTATCTCTCTCTCTCTTCGCTCTCTCTCTCTCTCTTCTCTGCTGAGGAGGAGGAGGAGGAGGAGGAGGAGGAGGAGGAGGAGGAGGAAAAGATTCAATTGCTGTCATACGCTTTCGAAAATATAAATAAATGTCGATTCATACCGCCCCGCTAAAAATAACCAACAATTTAGAGAGTAAATATTTGAAGGGCGAGAGATATTAAAAACAACACGGTACGTAAACATTCACATTTATTGATGAGATTAACATGCGTGCATAATATAGCATCTATATTATTATATATTATCTATATTATATATTATATATTATCTATATATTAACTATATTATATGCACTCTTAATCTAAACACAACTATCATTTATTCGTATGATGCATAAGTGTCCTCGAGAGATTAGACTGTGGCTATTGCCACTGGTTTGGCCTACTTTGCGTTAAAAAATCGTCGACCGGTCAAGGGATGGCACTCCGACAGTTGCCTATTTTTTAGGTTTCCTCTATTACAGTTTTTGAAACCTCTAGAGAGACAGTGGTGATGGCTGTGGCGTCTACGGTAGAGGCAACATTGATGGTGGCAGTGTCCATGACGGTGACAGCAAATAAGGAGAGATGATTCATTGATATATCGATGTATCACACCATACAAACCTCGACAATACACGTATCGATACGTTTGACTACCTATGATACACTTATCGATACTCTACTTAATAAAATCCATAGAATTCGGTTGCATAGTCTCACTAGAAAACACAAGAAGCATGGCACAATTCGCTATTCAATAGCAGTTGTTTTCTAAATGCTCCACGGTACTGATTTGTAAGAATTCCCATGATTGGTAGAGTACCGGTTACGTGTATAGTTTGCTAGGCAGTTTCTCTTGAAAGTATTGCGATACGTGCACCATGGTACCATGGTACGGATCGTATCGTGTGCTACCGGTACCGTCCTCCCCCTAAAAGCAAAAACAGTGGGAACTACGGTGGTGACACACGGTAGCAAGCAGCTGTAACATTGACAATGTCAGTGCTAGTGACAGCGGTGGGGCGGACGCTGAGCTACACACCTGCCAGGTGCTGTCAATGAACTGAGTGAAGATGGGAGCGGTCTCCTTCGCGTCTCCGGCCAGATGTCCGCAGCGCTCAGTGAACTTGTGTCCAAACGACAACCACTCCTTCTCGATGAGAATCTAGGATGAGAAAGGGAAGAGAAGTAAAATCAGGGGCGAGAAAGGGGTAGAGAGAATGGTGGCATGTTGACTGTAGCGTTTGCCATAGTATATATAGTGGTTCTTACTTTTGGCCGCCACGACCGTCATCAGACTTCTTGGTCAGTACCGTGAACGCCCGAAACAAATTTTTTTTAAACGCAGCCCGATTTATATAGAATTTTAAAATGGATTTGTTCATTTAATGACACTTGTCATGACCCCGGGAAAAACCCCCAACGACCTCCAGATTTAAGAACCGAGTGACGTAGGGGGTGGGCTAGGTATATAGCGTGCAGAAGTGCTGTAACGCTTCCATGATCATTCAGACGTGAAAGACCAGTTGAGATGTTGGCGGCAATAGATACACTTTAATGTAAAACCTGGCGCCTAATGACAACTGACGCTTTAAGCTGTAATGCCACACTGAAGCTGTTGCCGTCTAGGGTATAAGATAGCGTGTGAGTCTGTGAGAGTTTTGATGGAGAGATTGAGTGTGAATTGATGAGAACAGTCCGGCAGAGCATAATTTAAGTTGACTGTCGGCTGTCAATTCTTTCGTGAAAATCAGCCAGCATTTATTCATAAATGGTTAATCCGGTTTCATGCATTACATTGAAGAAAGATTCATCATATGTCTGGCTTTCTCAGTAAAGATTTTCGCTCACTGATAAGCTTTCATTAGTTAAGTGCGTGATTTAGAATTGCATCTACATTCGAAGGCCCGGAAGGACCACAAAACATTCGTTGCAGTAATGTAATACTGGGCTGGCAGTCCGACTTTCTCACAGAATAAAAATTGCTGAATCTACACAACTTACTGCGTTAGACGCGCAATGCCGTAATTGCGAGCTGGGGCAGGCTAATAGGCATCCTAGCAATTCGATACACGAACCCGGCTAACAGATTCCCGGCATTTTTTATGACTCATAGTTAGCCATGCGTCACAAAATCGTGTTTTGCGTAAAATTCAGTGCAACTCGTTTCTTGACGTTTCTTCCGATTAGAACGCGCTTCCAACGACGGCGGTTGAGCGCAGCATTGTAACTGTCACACCATCCTGGCTGTGAGCAGTGTAACGGATGTCGTCATGCTGCTGGTTGTTGTGCAGGCGGTGGGAGACGGAAGGAATCAGCGTGATGGTGCACCTGCTCCGATGCTTGGGACCGCAACAGCAAGCAGACCTGCTCTCTAGCTAGCATCCTACTAGAACCCATTCTAGCAGAAACACTACAGGGCTTCCATGGTAAGCGCTTACCTCAGGAATTGATTGTGAGGGTTTACGCCTTCCAGACCCCTTTCTCGTCATAGGCTTCAATAGTATGGATTTCACTGGTCCTTTTGGAGGTTTTTATTGTCTCCAGGCCTTTTATGAAAGGTTTGTCACTAGTCAGGCGCTTATTTGCTTAAGGTTTACCGCCCTGCCAGAAGCTTTACTCTCCAGGGAATTACCTGTCACTGTTTTCAGTGTTCAGGTTTTCATCAATTAGGGCTTCATTAACTCGAGGGTTTCATTGTTAGGGTTTCATGTTCAGTGTTTCAATGTTAATGGATTTCCAACTGTTGCAGCGTCGAGTATTAGTCAAATGATTAACGGTGGGTTCACTGTTTAGTATTTCATGTTAGGCGTTTCGCTGTTCAGTATTTCACATGTTTTAGGGTTTTGCTGTCAGGTGTTTTAATGTTAGGGTTTCGCTGTTCAGTATTCAATGTTAAGGGTTTCACTGTTTAGGGTTTCATTCATCCTAAGTCTCTAAGCCAGGGTCTCATTGTTGAGGCGTTCGAATCGTAGGGTTTCATTATGTTTAAGGTTTTCCCTTAGCCCAATGGTTTTATTGTTAAGCCGGCGCACATGTGAGCTATTTTAGGCTCAGAAATATGACGCATGAGTCAATTTACTCACGTGTGGCGCGGAATTTTCGCTTGAGTAATTTTGACGACATCGCGTCATTTTTAACTGCACGTGTGCGGCGGAATTTTCGTTGATGTAAATTTGACTCACGTTTTACTTGAGTAAAATAACTCAATGTGCGCCAGGCTTTAGGGTTCCGATTTTAGTGGTTTCACTGTTTCCAGGGTTTTTCATCCAGTAAGGGCTGAATGTTTAGGTTTTTTATTACCGCTAACATTTCATGGTAAGGGTTTCCTGCTAGCCCGACTGGTCATTGTGAATCTCTCACTCTCTACAGCTTTATAGAAAAAGGCATCCCACTTTCCTATGCTTATTCTACAGGATTGATATCAGATTCACCGCTCCCAGCAATTTCCAGTGTGGGTGCCAATAGACGCTGTATCAGAATAGAAGTGGGGGATTACATAACCGTAATGGCCTGCAGCACGCAGTTGGTTGCTTTTGACAAGTTTTTGTTGAGGTGTCAGAGTAAATTTTCCTATGGATGAGGACATCTTGTGCATGAGCAATATTTAGATACTTGCTCCGCAGCGAGCAGTTAATGAATCTGATAAAGAGGCCAAATCATGCAGTTATAGGCCATCTCTCTCTCTCTCCTTCTCACTCGTACACGTTATAGTGATGAATAGCGCAATAGTACAGTGTAGTCTGTTCAGCTGTTCCATCCGGTCCACGGCGTAGACCTTGTACAAAGGTTATTGTTTTTTTTTTTTTTTTTCACCTATGCAGCTTGCCGATAAGGAAACTGTTTTGTCTTCAGTTGATAGAGTCCATGACAGGCAGCGAGCGTGTCTAATTGCATATAATAGCGGGTCAGTGGCAACATCGTAAGCCGTTCATCATCGGATCATTAATGGTAAACAGCCATCAAGACCTGTGCAAATCAAGAGTGTAACGGTTAACGGTACACACTACTATTCTTCCGTAAAAATCTGGAAAGTCCTGGAATTTAAAAACAAAAAATAGGAAAAGTCTTGGAAAATGGAACCGTGGTCCTGGAAAACCGTAGGAAACGAGCTATTATAGTGTTTAGTGCTAGAAACTCTATGTCTAACTTGTCTGTCCGAGAAGCAAAAAAATTGCTTCAAGTGAGAGTTCGTTTACTAATTGCTGATTGGACGATACGAGACACTAAGATTGTATGCAGCTAAAATCTTGTTGCTGCAACATTCGTTATATATATATATATATATATATATATATATATATATATATA